TGCCCTCTGATTGGTCAATACTACTTCAGAAACGCGTTTGTAAAATGCTAGTGGGAACATATATTAAAATTCAATAGTAATTAACCACCAGTAACTTTTTCTTAGGTGATATCAACGACATAATCAATTGGCCGCGTTCACCAGATACAAAACGGTTTGTGAACAGTTTACAAATACCAACAGAATATGTTTGCTAAACTTTTGGTTCTGCTGAACGATGTGGTGTTTTCCTTTCCGTTTGACTTTTCGTTTATCTACTCCTTGTTTTGTTTACACGTCACCTTGAACGTCACAACCCGACCTCATTCAAAGGACCCCTCACTTTTCTTATGCAAAATGGCTTTCGGCCAATTTTTTTAAATATTTAGTATGTTGTAGTCCTTGATGTTCTGGACAAATATCTCCATGGGCCCAATTCGATCCTATGTTCAGTTTCCGAGATATCGGTGCTGAAAAGTTAGACAGAGGGGAATTTTAAACATTTTCCGATAATCTTAGAAATAGCCTATTATAAATAAAAACCTTACTTTTCTGATAAAATGATTATATGAGAATTTTGCTTATAGTATGGTCTTTTAAATGTGAAATTCATTTTTTATACACGGTGAACTAAAATATTTATCGAGATATTTATATAGAGGTTTATTTTATTACAATTCAAAAGTACCTATGCAAAATTATCGCCCTCCATTTTGTACCGATGGATGTTATGTATCTTAAAAACAAACGGCCAGCTTTTCACGAAGGTCTGACATTTTTAATACAGTGTGTCCACTTAGGCTCGCAGCATATGGGAAAGTTTTTTATTATCAATTTTACGAAAAAAAGTCATTCTTTATAAAAGTTTCTGCGATTAAGTTTTCTAAAACTTTGACACCCTGTATCTCAGAAACTACGCATTTCCGGACACATGTTTATGGGAACTTTTTTTCTTAAAATATTGTAAGGAATCACATCCTAAAGTTACGAACCGTACTTAGGAAATACCTTGTATATTTTTCTATTTTTTTGACCACCCTATACAGGGTGGGTCAATTTGGACACTTTTAATAGGAAACGTCAATTTCTGAGCGAGATACAAAAAAATAAACCCCCCATTCTGGGCTCAAATTTCATGAAATTTTGATTGGCGCAAACCGCATTTTGATGACCGCAGATTTCCCCGTAATTTCGAACAGCCCGTATTGAAAATCGGTACGGTTTGGAACTCGCATACCTCACAGTTTGGAAATTATTAATCCCCATAATACCCATTGTTATGTTACATCCTCCGAACAAGTTATTGGGTCATTTTTCTTTAGCTATCGATATATAAAAAAATTTCAGAGTTTTGTGAAAATCAGGCCGTTTGTTTTTAAGATACATAACATCGGCACAAAAAGGTGGACGATAATTCTGCATACTTTTGAATTGTATAAAATAAACCTCTAAAATCTTTTGGTTCACCGTGTATGAAAAATGGATTTCATATTTAAAAGACCATACTATAAGCAAAATTCTCATCCAATAATTTTATCAAAAAAGTAAGGGTTTTATTTATAATAGGCTATTGTAAAAATTATAGGAAAATTATTAAAATTCCCCTTTGTCCAACTTTGAGCACCGATATCTCGGAAACTGGATATAGGATCAAATTGGGCCTATGGAGACATTTGTTCAGAACATCAAGGACTACAACATACCAAATTTTTAAAAAAATTGGTCGAAAGCCATTTTACATAAGAAAAGTGAGGGGTCCTTTTTTTGGTGGATTTCAGGCCCTGCGATCTCCTATTGCCAGTAATAAACCACATAATAACTCTTTTCCGTTTTTCTAGATGTCGCTGACAACAACAGAATTGTAAAATACCAGCACATCAAGAACACGTCCGATGTCGATAACATTATGACATGAGATTGACTTGTCAACATATTATGACAATATGCCAAAATATTCATTTGATCATAACTAATAATTCATAATGTTTTTCGTTCGCCGGTTGAAAAGACGTAGGGGACTCCCCTAACTTCTTTGTCTGTTCGCTACTACTCTATAGCAGCCTCACTAGACTGGCAAACTAGACTTGCATTTCGTCTTTCTTTGTGTTGTGAAGTGTTTCTAAGTGATTTCAAAGTGGTTTTGTATGTTTCACGAAGACCTTCAAACTTTATAGTTTGGAAGTTTTATTTTTATCTTTGTTGATTAGATTAATGACAGGTTCAATTAAACATCAATCAGAACTTTGAATAAATATGTTAAGGATATCCTTAATCATCGATAAAGGAACTGTCTTTTGATCTAATTAACAAAACATCAATTAATTTAAGCAAACATTAATGTCCCAAAGTCTAGAATAAAGAAATTTGAACAGACCGACTGTAATGCGAACAGGGCGCCATCTATCATAAAACTGCTTTAAAGCCCTATGTGAAGTAGGTGTCTGTAACGTCGATGCAAAACCAGGAAATAGTGAGTTTCCAATATGGAAGATGGCGCTGGCTTGGCTCAATTTTGTTGACAACAAAATTTACACTGAGATTCCATTCTCGACAGTTTATATAGTATTTATCTCTGGTGGATTTCTATTCAAAAGTGTTTACCTATCAGTTCATTTTGATTTTTTTAAAAATATGAATCATAATATAATCAGGGATTTATTACTAGAGGAGGGTAATATAATTCAACAACTTGTCCCAGTATTGACCGACTTGGTGCAACCAAATCCTGTACGAGATGAAGTTTAAGAACTGTATCCACAGGAGAGACGTGAGGTAGTGAGGAATTCAAATTATTTTGAAGAAACGATTCCCCAATATACAGATATGCAATTCAAAGAACATTTTAGGATGTCTAGAATATCCTTTGAGGTATGATAACACAAGAATTTATAATTTATAGTGGATACTAACATTAAATTGATGGCTCCGTGTCATTTGCGCGACAGCCGTTTGCACGAGGGAGAAAAGTGTGATACAAAAAGCGCGAGGAACAAAAACGCGACTGGAATAAAGCGCGATTGGACAAGAACGCAAGGTGCCTAACTCTCTACGAGAATTATAGACCCATCGAGCCTATAGACCGCTTTCCAAAATACAAGATATTTCTGGTGGTTCTGGTTCAAAAGAGCATTATTTGAATTAGCGACATTTGGAAAGAACGGCGACATATCAAATGAGCGACATTCGAAAGCGCGATACTTGAAACAACGACATTGCAAGTTATGTGAAGAACGGCGACCTCAAATAAATTGTCTTTTTTTTTTAAAATAAAATGCTAACTTACGAGGACTAGATCGCACTGGGCGGACGGGTTAGTCTGAGTAAGTCTGTTTTGGTCGATCGCGCTTTTATCCAGTCGTATTTTTGTTCCGTCGCGCTATTGTCCTTCCCCTTTTTTGTTCCGTTGCTCTTTTGTCCCTCGCGCTTTTCGTATCGCGCTTTTCTCCCTCGCGCAAACGGTCGCCGTGCAAATGACACAAAGCCTAAATTGATATGTACTAGCATCTATTGAACTGCATAGGAAATATGCAAAACCAGCAAAACCCAGGAGCCAATGCAGTCAATGCACACATACCACTATCAAAAAAAGTTCTATTCAGCATTTGGATCCTGGCTAAACAAGAGACATATTTAGCTGTTGGAGATCGATTTTCAATCAGTAAAAGTTCTGGCCATCTTATTTTCAAGGAAATATATACATATATTGGTCAATTATATGGCGAGTTTATTCGATGGCCTGGGCGACGAAAGATGATAAATGGTTCCAATGTAAGTACAAATTTTATGATGTAATGTGAAATTATATTCAGTACATACTGGAAGACAACAAATAGCGCCGCAATAAATCTATTTAACTGTATTATTCTTGGTATTATACCATATATTATACCATGCTATTTATAATATAAGTATAATATTTTTGGATATTATAGGTATTTGAAAGAAGATCCGGAATACCAGGTGTAGTTGGTGCTATTGATGGGTGCCACATTGAGATCAAACAGCCCATCAATAATGCCTTCGATTTTCACAACAGAAAAGGATACCACTCAGTAATTTTGCAAGGTAGGTACACAAGCTAAATTCAATGTTCAATTGCAGTTTCTAGCTCTTTATAATTTTTATTATACAATATATACAGGAACCTGTAATGAAAATGGTCTATTCATTGATACCTCAATTGGAATGCCTGGTCGGATGCACGATGCGAGAGTCTTCAGATTGAGCCCTCTATATGAAGCGTTAACTGCAGCAGATAATGCTCTTTTGAATAAAAATCAGCATCTCATAGGAGACTCAGCATATCCTCTTTTAATAAACCTTATGAAACCTTATCAGGATAATGGCCATCTTACGAACGAACAAATTATTTTTTATATTAAATTATCCAGTGTTAGATCAATAATTGAGAGAGTATTTGCTTTTTTAAAGGGGAAATTTAGAAGGCTCAAATATCTGGATGTTTCTGATCCAGAAACAGCAAATTCGATGATTTTAGCAGCCTGTGTTCTGCATAATTTTATTATGATAATCGAAGGTGAAGAAAACTACTTCAATTTGGAAGATATGGGAATAGGCAATGATAATAACCAAGATGATGACAATGTTAATCATCCAGAGGCCAGAAGAATAATAGCTCTTGCTGTGGAAAAAAGAAGGCGTATTACACAATATTGTAATAATATAAGGCAGTGATAAGAAAATATTCGTAAATATATAATAAAATACGAGATAAATATTGTTAAATAAAAATGTATTAGCACAATAAAATAAACGAAACATTTTTAACGGGTTATGGGTGCTTTTGATGGAACCTTCTTTAAGCAACACTTTACAAAAATACATCAAAATAATAAGTGAAAGCATCATATTCAAATTTGAATATGAGTGAAGCCTTAGGCTTGTAGATATAACTCTTAGAATTTCGTAGCTTGTTCACCAAATATTAAGAGGCACATCATTACAAAAAGCTCACTTATTTTTATGTATAGATGGGAACTTTATAATAAAAAATTTCAATTCTACTGATTTTCACTTGAATTTTCACCAAGGTATTTTCTCAATAGTTCATTTCTTTCTTTCTGTATATTATTATTTTCCGATATTTCCTTGACCAAATTTTCAATGGCAGTTACTCGTCTTTTCTCAGTTTCCAAATATTCGACTCTGGTCCGATACAGCCCTCTCGCAGCTGTTGCTTTGGTACTATTGGATTGTTTAATTTATTTGATAATTTAAAGTTTCGTTACTGGAATCCAGTGAAAACTGGGAAAATGAGCGTTTCAATGTTGGCGCTATATTGATTTCATCAATAGGCTGTAATATTAAACTGGAGACTGAAATATTTTGGATTTCACAAGAGGACCTGCTAGTTACTTCAGCATTTGTTCTGAATTCCATTGAATTTAATATTTTTCCATGATTTATTGTTTTGTCGTCTAAGAAAAGTTCGTCTACAATGTCATAATACTCCCATACTATTCTGCCACGTCCAGTTTTGTTTTTGTTATTGTCTTTAATAGTCTTATAGTGATGTTTTATATTTCTCATCTTACAGTCTAGCTCTTGTACAGTAATATTATACCCAATTTTTCGAAATATTTGTGCAATGGCTTCCCATAGGGATTTTTTTTTTATTTTCGGGTTTCGAAACTGTTCGAGTCTCTTTTTATACTCTGAAATCAATAGTTTTGTGGTACTTGTGTTCCATAATAGCTTCAATGAATCATTCATGTCTAAAAACACAAAAAATTAAATAGAGATAAATCAACAAAACCTTGGATAAATCAATAGGTATAATGGAAAAATCGAAAACTAATGACTGATTTTCAAAAACTGGAGACCTATCTGTTTTATTGAATGCTGGCTCTGGCGAAAGTCTTGAAATTGGCCTGCAAGCTGCAAGAGGAAACGTTCTCATCGTTGTTGAATCATTCTCCATCTCACTTACCTATATTCAATTTAGCATGAGCAGCTCCACCAGATGAATAGTTTTTTTGGATGTATTCATTATTATCTTCATTTCCTCCAGCCATTTTTCAAATTTTACACTTTTTGCTTTTGGAATTAAAAACGTCAAAGGCCACGATATGTCATGTCACCACGACCACACACAACACAACAGAACACAAAAAGGTGGAAATATACACGTTATTTATGTTTGCAAAAATGGCGACCGTTTGCAAAACATGTTTACTTTCAACACAAATTCAACGTATCGTTCAGCAGAACAATCGCAAACCGTTTACCAACGTTTGTATCTGGTGAACGTAACCACTGGACATACGTTTTTTGCCACCAGTATCACGTGACTTTAAAATTGTATTTGTCGGACACCTTATGATTTAGATTTTGGAAAACTTTGGAAGGTCATAACTTTTTTCTATTAAAGATAGAAAACTGGAAGATTCAGCGATTCTTATCGCAGTAAAGGACTACAATCCTTGAAAATTTCAGCTCATTTGGATTTATAGTTCCATAAATAAAATTGAGTTAAGCAATTCAGGGTGATTTTCCAATTTTCTGAGTGCCTTTTTTCATAGAATTTGGCTCCAAATCTTAGAATAATTTAGTGTATGGAGTTTGAGGGATTCCAAAGAACCATTAGGACACAAGATCTCAAAAACAAAAATCGTTTAGTAAGATGATTTAGATTTTGGAAAACTTTGAAAGGTCATAAGTTTTTTTCTATTGAAGATACAAAGTTGAAATTTCCAGCGTTTTTTATCCTAGTAGAGGACTACAATCCCTGAAAATTTTACCTTATTTGGACGAAGCCAAAATAATTTATTTCAGTTAATCATTCAATAGAACCAATTCATCAAACCCCTCTATTATGAAGATTCATTTCCAATTAATAATTTAAGATTTTCATTTTCATTGAACAAGTGAAATTGGAAAGGTTTTCCATGTGCTTATTACTTTCCTAGTGTGTAATTATGACCCTCGGAATAGTTTTCGAATCATTGTCATTAGGTACACAATTGATATGGATAAAATGTAATTTATGATGATAATCGCAGGCAAATATCTGATAGCTTAAATAAAATTCAATTACCAAAAATGTTGACAATTTCGACTTCTCTCACTTGTAATTTGCCACACGATTAATGAAAAATTAGAGTTTTTGATGGGAAAAACAAATTGATTGCCCGCTACAACAATAATTAAGCAAATATTAAATCCACTGGCGTGGTTTTAGCTCTAATTCGTGCATATGTTGCACGTTTAATTTAAAACCCTATTTTCCCGATGAGGATGGGGAGAAAATTAAACTTGAACCTAGAAATAGGATTTAACCCTCTCAAATTTAATTAAAAAACTTAACTTTGTACTACCTACTGTATAAAATATTCCGTTTATGTTTCATGCGTTTTACCAATTTTCAATAATGAACCCATTGTTTTCTCAGTAAAGTGGCTTAATTAAAAGGTTGAGTATTATTCTTCTTAAGCAAATTCGAATATTTGAAAACATCACCTGCGTTTTTAATTAAAATGTCAGCCATATAGGGTTTATTAAATTGAATTTCCCGAAAAAGGCTTGACTTTAAAAGAAATGTGCTCCTAAAACATGGTAACATATTTCGTACGGTCGCAGGAAATTAAGCCATTTACCCAGTAAGCTAGATTTATTTTTTTATATATATATATATAAAAGTGTCTTTAAAAGATGTTCCTCAAATTTATGAACGTATATTCCAAAAGTAGGCTAACGGTGGCCCTTAAAACTTTTGTAACCATATTAAAACCCATATCAGAAATTTTATAGTAGCCAGTTTATCTTTATTAACACATACCATTAAACTTGTCTATTATCCATTAATCTTGAAATGCACTCTACAAACACAAAACTAATTACAAAATTTTAGAAGTACCGGTTACCGAACCGCTTTCCTCAAAATCGCCAGTACACTGGAATGTTTTATGTTTCGGAAGCTTTCAAATTATATTACATTTTAATTATTATTTAGCGCGGTAAGAAGGTAATGGGCAATTTACATGGAAAAACAAACAAATAATGAATTTATGGGAGTCTTTTTCATTTGGAAATTAGTTGACTCGAAATACCTATACAAATTTCCTATGAAATCAAAGAGCAAACATTTCAAAGTAATGATAACTTAAGAAAGCCTATCATTAAAAAACTATTTATAAAATAAAATATTGGTAGTGAGTTCAAATGAAATTGAATCAATTCACATAATAAATAAAAGTCCAGGTTGCCATTTTAAAAAACGTAAAGATCCAAGTAGTGCAAATTCCACTGAAAAATTCAACTCGTACAAATTTATTGCGAAAAGTTGTCGGGACATGACTGTTGTTCAAATTGATTTTATAGAGCCGTGTAATTAGATATTAGCACGGACGAAAGCATAAAATATTATAGAGTGCCGATGCAGTCGAGTATTTTCCTATTTTGAGATAAATATTTGCCTCTGTTGCATAGATTGGAAAATGTATAGGAAGCATTTTATGTAGGAGAACCTGGAATAGGACTTTTAGGATTCTCTAGTCAAAGATGAGCTTTCTATTAAACAGTTCCAACTCAAATTTAATTATACAACTGCAAACTTTTGGTTGAGGGATTGAAAAATCGAAAATTGAAGTTGAAGTAGGTACTATACATTACGTATTTTAAAATATTACAAAAAACAAACTTATTACAATAAAGTAATTCTCTAGGTGAGTACATGTTTAGAGTGCACAATGAATTCTCAAGGAATTTGTGTGTGAGTTATATCATTGTATAAAAAGTCTCTAGTAATATTTGGTAATATATTTCCCATTTGAACATTTCTCTTCAACATTGTATTTTGTTTATATTTAGATAGATGGCAGAACCAGAAAGAAATTGAAAAAAATAATGCTACCCCTGTGTTTGCTCGGTATCGCCATCTACACACCATGAGCTGTATAAAAATGTTGCAGATTTCAATTGAAATCGAGACAGCGTACAGTGGATTCATAAAGGTACAACAATGTACAGGGTTGCCGTTATCATATACATTAAATATTTTTAACCATGAATTTGACGTGCATGATTTGATGCAGCGCAAAGTACCTCAGCGCCCTATCAAAGATTTTGATTTAATAATCAAAAACATTTTTTCAAATAAATAATTATGTAATTAAAAAACTCATGAAAAACTCAAATTAAAACTGGTTTTGATAATAGGGTAAGAAAAATGGTAAAATTAGGCGTGCGTATATGTACTGATAATACAAAAATTCCCATGTGCTGCCAGTTTAAGTGGACACACTGTCCTTTTGCGGTTAAAAAACTTCAAAAAAGTATATCAAAATTTTAGGACTGTGTTGAAAAAAAAGTAAGTTGATGTTGCTTGCAAGTAGTCGAAAATTCGGATATGAAATTCGACAATTTCATCTTATGGAAGAATAATAGTGGCAATTATTTGTTAAGCATCAATAATTACGTATAGGTATACCAAACTAACTATGTCCATTGTCAAATTACCCGACCCTTTAATAGACCAAGGAAATAAAATTTAGGTGTTTAGGTACCTGAATATGCAAAATATTTTATAATTTTGTACTCAATTAATGACAAAACTTATCTCCGAACTTCAGTGCGATAGGAACAATGGTCTTAGGATTGCTGTAGCAGGTAGCTCGATGGGCTGAAGAAATAATAAGCAATAATTGGAGATATCACAGATAGAGGATAGATGATTCAAATCGAAACGAAAATTTTAATATCAATTTATATCAACAAATTTATTTCATAGTACCCGGCTAATCTACAATTTTACAAATTATTAAAAAAATAACATAAAACAATACAAATGCTAATCTTTAAATTACAATCACAATCAGGTAGGTACCCAGACCACAGTTAACTTACACCAAATGCGTATGTCATTGCACATGTAAATGAAAATCAAAACACGATAAACAACCCCTAACTGATAATCTTTATAATAAGTATTCCTATCAATATCACAGTAGGTTGACAAAATATATACATATACAATAATAATGACACTTATGGTGCATTTACATTTACTTCGAAGTCCAATTTGTCTTGAAATTGACGCGCTTGGCATATGGCGACAGCACAGATCCATTTACATTGAAATAAATTTGAAGTTCACTTCGAAGTGCACTTTAAATTTGGGCGAGCTGCTTGCCAAGGGCAAGCAGAAATTTGTCAAATGTCAAATTTTTAGGTTATTCATCATAATTCTCATTAAATTCTGACACTTTGACTTGACGTTTTTGTTCTGCAATGTAAATGATCAAATATCAAACGTCAAATTTAACTTGAAGTTGGAAGTGAATGTAACTGCTCCTTTAGACTCCACATTTAGCTCACAAAAAAAATCTATTAAGGAGACAAACCCCCAAGGATCCTTTGAACCGAAACAATAATTATAAAAATAAAAATAATTCAGCCCATTAAGAAATTATTGTTTTTTTTTTTTTTCTTAAATACGTTGAAACCAGCTATATACATAGTGCATCAATCTGCATCCGAATTCTTGCTAATTGTAAATCGAGATTTAGAGATACAGGGTAATTTGTAATAGCACTGTAAATAAATTGTCAAAAATTTTGAAGCAATACAGGGTGTCCCAGCCGAAATTGAACCATTTTAAAAGCTAATATCCTCGAAACTGAGAAAGATGAAAGGATGCAGTTTGCAACATTGTTTTTAATTACCCAATACATTATTAGTTCGAATTAAAAAAAATTTTTTGCTTTATACAGAGTGATAATAAAAAATTGAATTTTCATAACTCAAAAAACTCCAGTTTTCCTAAACTGAATACCCCGTATATTTTTACATTGCAAGAAAGCTTTTTTTCTAAGCTTCTCAATAATGTATAGTTGATGCCTTTATTTCTAGATCTAGAACAAAGCTTGGTATGAGCTCTCGAAGACGTGCTTGCCAGTTGGAAGTTTTAGTTATCACTCGGTATAATGCTAAAAAAAGATTTTTATAACGGGCAAAAAATGTATCGGGATCGGGTAATTAAAAACATTGCTGCAAACCGCATCCTTTTATCTTGTCT